TGAAGAGAAAAGTTGCATGTCACGTTAATTTTACAACTATTTGTTGACTGCTGAAAAAAGGATAGTTTCTGTAGCATTTTACAACCATTTCATTCAAGTGATCTAAAGTGTTTTTTCAATGCAAACATCTTTATATTTGGAAATGACACCGAAAAATTGTCTTGTTAAAACTAGATAATGCAAATCATATTAGGTACAATGAATAAAATCCCGACAAGGACCTGATTAACTAGAGAACCATATTATATCATACACTAGGTTGGTACATTAAGGTGGACCTAATAATGTGGACCCAATCATTATAACCTTATAAAGGTCCTTACTCATTTGTCGTTAGGATATTATAAAGACTGACTTACTTAGGATCACCTTTCATTCACCGTACTAGGTCCTTATCAATGTTAGGTGAACCTGATCAAAATTTCTAGGAGGCGTCGCGGTGATGCCGATGAAGATGCCGATCGATCTCACCGACGTCATGATTACCAGCAAAGTCAGCAATCTGCAGTCGTTGCGAGGCAGCGGGGAAGTTTTTGTCGACGACGACGACGACGACGACGACGACGGCCGGCCTCGACCCCCTTCGCTTTGTGCCGAAAACCTCGTGGCTGATGTCCCATTCTCGGCCGGGGCCCGCACGACATCACGACCTTTTGTCGCCGCGGCCGCTTTTCTCTCGCAAAAGTCTTTGCACAGCGCGGAGCCTCGGTGCCATATACAAGCGAATAATGGAACCTTTTACCCCGGGCGTTTTATACGTGTATATCCGCTCCGACGCACCTGTTCGATCGGACCGGTCGCCATAAAAGCCCAGCGGCCAAGGTAGCGTTTGCTTCCACACTTTCTTGCTTGCGCGTGTTTCCGTGCGCGAATGTATACACACCGCGCGCTGCTGCCTGCGAGGGCCGACACTCGAAAATGGCGCGTGCACCTGTCGTGCCGGACGAAAGGACTGCGGCGTTCAATGGGCCGTCATGCGTCAGTCCCTTGACAACTCGTGATTTAAACGAGCCGTATCGTATACGCGGATATATTCAAATCCGAGAATTTGCACTCGGCCCGAGTTCTACGGTTAACCGCCATTGTACCTCGTTAATAATTCCCGCTCTTCTTCCCCGCCGCCTCCTCCCACAGGCAGATTATTGCCATCGTCACGGTGGAATAATGCCAATTCCGCTGGTCACACAATGGTCAGGCTACTTCCAAATTCCCGAGCATCGTCCGGACGCCCCCGGAATGAAGGACAAGCTTTTAACAGAATTATATATTCTTCTTCTTTACATGAATTCGTGCGAAGGTCGAGTGACGACGAATCACAGGCGAATTTTTTGCATAAAGGTTTCGTGCTTTATTTCGGGCACATCCTGCTCTCTGGATTTCTTTCAGTGAAATTTACGCAATTTTCTTTTTATTTTTATTCTTTTATTTTATTTTTTTCTTTTCTTAATCGAGGCGGACTGAATTTCCTACCGCGAATTGTCGGGCGGATATTCTCGCTCGAAAATGAAGATGTAATCTGATGACTTACTTACGATGTCGCGAAACTGTGATGACTATCGCATAACGTTCACTCGCGTGCACTCATCGGAGAGATATTGTCTGGCACGGGATACCGCTCGAAGAGAACCTTTCCAACACACAAAATATTCCGTGCGCGAAACTTTTACTTTTCATTAACCTTGGCTCAATATTTGTACACACACACACACACACACACACACACAACATGAAGAATTCGAAGAGTAAATAAGACTATCTCGGATAAGCCGGGTAGCCCGGGTGGTGTCCGAGATAAACAGGTACCGGAACGCAGATACCACTAATCTACGATACATTTTAACTTTCTCCCCGATAAGAAATTGCACGATAAATCTCGAGTAACCGAGTGAGAGGGCCGAGCGAGAGAGCAAATCAACTTATTCGGCGCTTACGCCGACCGGACGTCGGCGACGAAACGACGAACGCGCGGCTTCAGGTAGTGAAACCCGTAAATAGTCCATCGGCGCGATGCGATAGTGCGCGAAAGGGCCAGGACGAGAACGCGGCGGCGGCGGCGGCGGCGGCGGCGGCGGCGGCGAGAGACCCATATGGGCGCGAAAGTCGGCCGGACAAAAAGCGCGATCGAAGCCGCGCACGGGCGATTGAGTCGGCGGTGCGTGCGCTAGGAGGCGCGTGGGATTTAATAGCGCAGCGCGCGCAGCGCAGGTAGGCAGTTTAGCCCAGGCGAAATCAATTGAACGCCGGCGCGCGTGCGTTTGCTCGCGCCATATGTTGTTTGCTCCGCCAAAAGAGAGCTTTGTACCGCGCGTTACACACCGTGAACGCGTATGAATGAACGCGCGACGCCAAGGGATACTCTCTCTCTCTCTCGCGCGCGCGCGAGCGAGCGAGCGAGCGAGCGAGCGAGCGTAACGATCTCCTCTCCTCTCGACTCTTCATTGTGCGAAGAAATTGGATAACCTGCCGGATAATCCGCGCGCATTCACGCCGCCGCGAGTCGGCTTATGTCGACTGAGCCTTCGCGCGACGGAGACGATGTTGCTTCGCTGCAAACGTCACAGCCGTGCTGTGCTTGCCCCAAGAGGCGCTTCCCTCTTCTTCTCTCTCTCTCTCTCTTGCCTTCCATTCGCGCACGGCGTTGCGCGTGTAACGTTGCGTGCTACGGCGGATTAATAGATCACGCTTCGTTAGGTCGATGAAAGGACGTGGGGTTCCCTATTCGCCGCGTGCGATCGACGCGCGGACCACCTAGGCGGGGAGTTGCGCGTGTGGCGCATTCGGCGGACACGCAGAGTCGCAGGAAGGAGCCGATTCATGGCCGTGAGCATTGCTCCAGCAACGGTGACGAGAGATCGCGCGAGCAATGAGCGCGTTGGCCGGTTGCGTGTATGTAATGAATTTACGATATTTATATCGCGCGCTTTGTCGGAAGCGCGTCGATAGATTTATTCGCCGCGTGGCCGAGGGCCGCGTTTTTGCCACTTTCCGGGCGTCACTGCAGCATACATACGCACGCATCGGGTCCGATCGATTCGTCTCGTGGCGAGCACGAGAGCCCGCGCACCGGCGATTGCTTTTGTCGACGAGAATGCCCCCGCCAGGCCGACAGCCGATCCAAGTCCGAGCGGTCGCCGAAAGGATCGAGCGCGAGCGATCGAAGCGTCAGTCGTCGCGCAGTCAGGAATTCCACCCCTGACTGGGGGGTGCGAATGTCGGCTGGTGCCTACGACCGAGAAAAATGGATCGAAGGGAAGATTCCGAAGTTTGGCCGTAAGAAGCAGAAGTCTTGCGGTGCGACAGCGCGCTTTCGTCGGAGAAAATTCTGCTTCACGCGAGCGAAACTCGGCTCTGGAAGCGGAAATTGAGCTCCTTTTCCCGTCCAATGAACGTCCATGCGTTTATTCTACGATCGCAGACTCTTTCCTCACCGTGTACGATTGAACGAGGTGACTTCTCTCGTACAAGCAAAATTACGCTACGAGAGAGCACAGAGAGGAAGGGGAAGGAGGGCAAGGCAGAGTGTGACATAACACACACACGCGCGCGCGCATACACACACACACACACACACACACATTCACGCGCACACGACAGTGTAAAATTCAAAATCCATGTAATTTATTTCGCGTATAAAATATCTCTATATATAGGCGATATCTCTATATATGTCTCGTAGTATACTTTTTATACTTTCTTTACAGAACTAGATATAAATGGTACTCGCGCTTGAGCGTCGCTACATACATACACGCACGTATATAAAACATAAAGGTTACGCAATGACTGCTCGCGTCTATAAACTTACACCCCCCCCCTCCATCCCCCCGCCCCTCCGTAGATCTGTACATCTTTTTTTTCCCGGGTGGCGGCGCACGCCGCGTAGTAGTGGATCGCCGTGTGGGCCGAGCCTCCCTCGTCTCCCACCGCGCGTATTATACAATGACTAGCTTGTTCGAGTAACTTACAAGTAAATATACAGAACGCAAAAGGGATACACATAGAGAGAACGATAGTGCGCCGCGCGGACACAACGGGCCGACATCCAGCTCTTCCCTTCCCTCCGCCTCATTCGAGCGCCTCGCGGACACGACGCTTTTTCATCTCATCCCGGGTTCCCCCCTCCCCGGCTCTCAGCATCCGACGGAATGGAAGGCGAATTATAATACTTGTATTGTGTGCGTGACTTATCGGCTAATCGCTAAGCGTTACGCTATATATAAGCTAACGCGTCGTGCGCGTAGTTTGACGCGCTTTCGCGAATGGCACTTCGGTACTGCTTTCGTACTTGGGCGGACACGTACACACAGATGAGCCCGACGTGTATTCGGCCAGCACGGTTGCGCGAGCGACGAGACTTTGCCCGCGTGAAATCGCCTCGGAGATTTGAAAATCGTCGCCCGGCTGTTCCTCCTGCTTCAGAGAAATTTGCGCGCGCGGAAGGACTATCGCGGTTCCATCATTTTGCACGAGAAAGTCACTTGGACCACCGAAACTTTATTTTTTCTTTCAAACGCACGCACGCACGCACGCACGCACGCACTGGAGATAAGGAGATAATTTCGAATCTGAGTCATAAAGACTGCCCTGAAAAAGAGAGAAAAAAAGAGAGGAAGCAGCCTATCGCCCTCGTTCCTTATCTACAAGCCTGAATCATTCATCGGCGGTTCGAACAAACGAGAGGACAGGAAAATATATCAGCTAATTCCTCTCTTCCTTTTTCTCCGAGGTGCGTCGCGCGACGTGTAATCCGTGTAAGAGCACGGATGTGCCGAGGCCATCTGCACGTGTGCGCTCGAGTATCTTGCAAGAAAAATCTGCCCAACAATTGTTTTAGCGACTTACGCAAATTCAGCCAAATTCGCCGCGACTGCTGCACACCTTCGAGATTCACGTGTTTCTCGCTTTCCGCAATAATTTACTTAATTTAACCCTCAAGTGCCAGAAAACGCTAATCGCGATCGCAGGAGAAACATAAAATGAGAGAGGGAGGAAGTGGGGGGGGGGGGGGGAAAAAAGAGAAGAAAACGATATAAAATTGTAGGAAAACGTGCGCAAATCGTGTCGCTATCTCACTGGGTCCCTCGCGATCGCGTCTGATGTGCTCGCGTGCATTCGAACAGATGAAACGAAAGGAAAAGGAAACGGTTAATGGCACAACAAGTTTCACGGGACCGCTGAGCAAAAGCGGTAACTCTAATCCCGACGTAAATTCTCCGCGCGTATATTCCGAGCGCGGCGTCGATCATCAATCTCTCCCCGAAAGAAAAAGGAATCGAAACACACTTGTCGGCGCGTCCATGCACGCCGCCTATTTACAGCGAACGAGGAGACACGATGACGAACGGCAACCGACGAGAGATCGCGGGATTCCTCGCGGAAGCCGCCCCTCGTGAATATCATCGATACGGCGAAACGCGAAGTATCTTTTCTAAATAAAAAAATGGGTGGGAGGGGGGGAGGGGCAAAGGAAACATAAAAAACGACGACGACGACGACGATGACGGCGGCGGCGGCGGCAAAATAAAAACTCGGCAGAAGTGCATAAATAAAAGGATTCCACCTGGAAAAGGAAATTTCTACTTCCGCGAAAGAACACGAAGAATGGGAATCAAGTGTGACGAGAGAATCGGTTGCTCGCGAGAGGACGACGAGTCCCTTGACCTGATCGTGTCCAGGACTGCACTTGGTGTCGACGGGCTTCACTGCGTCCCGCCGTTTGTACTGCGTAAGGCACTTTGAGAACGCGGACCGGACAAGAAGCAAGATGCAGAGGAGGACACACGTACGCGCGCGGATCACACACACACACACAAGTGCGAGTGACTTCAACAAGCGTACCCGATCGGCACCGGCGCGCCGGGGCAGCCGCCCTCTTGGTGCTTCGTCAACAGCGACATCCTGCTGAAGGTCTTGCTGCACGAGTCGCAGGAGTACTTCTTCACGTCGCTGTGAGTCTGCAGATGGGCCCTGAGATTACTCCTGTCGGCAAACGCGCGGTTGCAGTGCTGACAGCTGAACGGCTTCTCGCCGGTGTGCGTGCGGATGTGGCCCTGGAGCAGCCACGGCCTGGAGAAGGCCTTACCGCACATGGTGCACTTGCACGGCAACGTGTGCGTCCTGATGTGCATCTTGAGCGCGCCCAGGCTGACGTAGACCTTGTTGCAGGACTTGCACGAGAAGGACTTCTTCGGCTGGCCCTGGGCGGCCGCGCAGTGGAACTGCCGGTGCTTGGTCAAGCCGGAGAACGTGGAGTACGACTTGCCGCAGTCCGGGCACTGGTACCTCGGCGACGTCGAGCTCGGCGGCGCGGTCGCCGCGTCGCTCGGGCTGCTCTTCTCGATCTTGCTGTCGACGAGCGCGGAGCCGGCGGTGGTGCTGCCGGCGGACGACCTGCCGCTGTCGCTGCCGGGTGACGAGAGATCCTCGGGTGTGACGGGTGGCGGCGACCGCAGGGAACCCGAGCCCACGGAACTCGTGGGCGACAGGCCGCAGTGGTCCGGGCTGGCCCAATGCGAGTAGCTCCTGGCGATGGGCCGTTGGATCGTCGAGCAGGTTAACGCGCTGTGAGGAGGCGGCGAGACCGACGGGTGCGACTCCGGCGGGGAGTGCGGGTACGCGGCCACCGGGTACGACGGGTACAGTTCCGCACCCGGATGGTGGTAGCGGTAAGGAGACGGCGAGTACGGCAGATGGTAATGCGGCGGGTACAGCGGAGTCGCGCGGACCCAGACCGGCGCGGGGTAGTGGGCCAACGGCTCCACCGGGGTGTTGAGATTCAGCGGCTCCAGCGGCGCCTTGCTCGCCATGAAGTGCAGCGGCGCCGACGTCGCCGTCACGGCCGCCGCCGCCGCCGCCGCCGCCGGCGTCGTTGTCGTCGACGAGTTATGTTGGATCACTTCGATTCGCGCCTTCTTCGGGTGGATCGGCGCGATCCCCGGCGGCGGCGTCATGGCCTTGGCCGGGTAGGGGTGATGGTAACCTTGGTGGTAGTTGTGCGGTGGATGCTGCACGTGGCATATCGAGTTGATCGGCGAGGGTGGGTGCGTCACTGACGGCGGTGGAGACAGCGGCGGCTCCTTCACGAACGGGGACGGTGTTCTTGACGCGCGTTGCTCCGCTTCCTGCCGTGGTGCTGCTGCTGCTGCTGCTGCTGCTGCTGCTGGTGATGGTGGTGCTTGTTGCGCTTGTGCTTGCGCTTGCGCTTGCGCTTGTGCTGGCTGCTGCGCCGGCTGCTGGGGTTTGTGATAATGCTGGTAGTGTCGATCCGCGCTTTTGCTGAGATCCTCGGGCTTGGTGCTGAGGTTCTCCGGCTCGGGGATGTCGTCCACGACCTCCACCATCTCTTCTGTAACAACAAAGAGACGCACATTGTTGGCAGCGCTAGCGCGTGATGATCTTTGCCCGGGACGTGTTATCCTTGCTGCTTACGTTCGCTCGCAGAGCGTTTGTGCATATAGCTTGTTGTTCATATACTTCTCGATCTTTTCCTTCTTTTCCATTGAAATCGCATGCTGCGTTATCTATCTAGGATTCTACGCGAGCTTTTGTTCTCGTAATTGCGTACAAAACGTGTCGCTTATCGTATTCGTATCTCGCAAAATCCCCCCCCCCCCCTCCGGCTATTCTCGTGCCGAAGGCTGCTTTAATCCGCGCCGCTGAGCGCAAGAGCAACTCGTTCGTAATTTCGTTCAAACATTTTACAACATTTATTTGTTAGAGAGGAATACAATATTCACATAAATCGCATGTCGCGGACGACTTACGACGCCGATGCGGAAAACAAGACAAAGTGCGACGCGAGGCGTCGAGAGCTCGGGCTCGAGAGAGCGCAGGTGCGCGACTGCGCTCGGCAGTAAACATAAAAATTCAAACTTGGCGATGCGTACCTTCGATCGCTGCTGGCTCCTCCTTGGACGTTAAAAAGTGCACCGGCCGCTTCTTCAGCGGGCAATGACTGTAACTATTGTCCTTGACGAAGCTACACGGCACCTGCTCGAGCAACATCTTGAGAACTGTCTATGCGCGATATCCGCAGCGCTCGCAGCTACTACTACGCAGAACGATACAGCATACGCGGATGCACTCTCTCCGTGTGTGTCGTTGCAACGTCGTTATAATCCAAACGCCGCCCCCTCCTCTGCGCCCCCCGCCGTTCTCTCACGCGTGAGGCAATTCCTCTGTGCGAACGACGTCACTGCACTGTTATCTCACACATGAGTCCGGAGAATCCAGATCGGCGCCGTCACTCGAAGTCCGCCGTCATCAAAATATAAACAGCACTCGAATCGCTCGTGGCGAGATGAAAATAAGACCGGTCCGCGCTACTCGCTCGTTCGAGGCGAACTGATTAGTCGCGAGCGGCGCGGCAATAGCACAGGTCTCGGCGTCGAGAGAGAGAGAGAGAGAGAGAGAGAGAGAGAGAGAGAGAGAGAGAAAGAGACACGCGAAGGGGAACACGTAGGGATACGCTCACGTACGGGATCTCCCTCCGAACACTTCGGCTATAAGCCAGTCTCTGACTGGCTGGTACGTGCGCTAGAACGTTTTATAACATATCCCCTACCCCCAGCAGATGCAGGTGGCCCGCACGTGTTACCGGACCAATGCGGGTCCACGGGCCCCGCGCAGCAAGCCGGTAGAAGGGCGCTTGGTCGTGAGTCGTCGTCCAATGAGCGGCCGGGCATCTGTCCCACCGGTTAGCCGCGCTCCCCACCACGCGGTTGCAGCAGGAGTCGCTCGCGCAGGACGCGCAGGATGTCCGTGAGTGCGACGCGAGCGTCCACGGTGCTCCACGTGCTCTCCTTCCTTCTTTATCGTCCCTTCCGCGCGACTCGCCGTCTCTTTTCGCTCGCCCTCCCTCTTTCTCCGTCTCGCGCGCTGCGTTGCGCTGTGTGCGTCGCTTTACACGAGTGTGTCCGCACGGAGCAGATGCTGTGGCCCCTCTCAGGGGAGACCCCCTTCTACATGTGCACACACACACACACGCACAATCGGGAGAACTCGCGCGGTCACACGCGCGCGCCTGTGTGGGTTTTACATTAGACCCCCACCCTGATCCGCCGGAGAGCGCGGCGACTCATTCGAATTTCCATTCGGCCTACCTGAACTCAACTCGCCGTTCCTTCTCTCGCTCTTTGTGCACGAGTAGTCGCCGTCGTGCCGGTTGTTTTGTGTTCCTACCTCGAGCGGCCGCGAGCGCGCGCGCGCGCGCGCGCGCTCGTGTGGAGGAGTGTGTTCGCGCGCGCGCGCGCGCGTGCATGCACGTATGAGAGCTCATAGAGGGCAATCTGCCTCTCTCGTTCCCCTTCTGAATTTAACCCCTCTTCCGTGTCGGCCCACGGTGCCAGTTCCGGTGCCAGTAACGGTCGTGTCGCGTGCCACAACATCGCCCACGCGTGCTGGGACCCACACATGCGCGCTCGCCTTCGAAAGCTCATACGAGCCCGCGAAGCGAAGCGAAGGCGCTCCGCTCTCCCGCTCTCTCCGTGCCCGCCGGGAATTCACGCTTTGCTCGCGCTTGCCGTTTTCGCGAGCGAGATGCAACCGAGCTTGTCGTGGAAATTCTCTACACCCGCACGATGTCTACTCGCGGACAGGAGAGTCCCGCTGATTTGTGTGACTTTCAGCAATTTGCGCGGCGCGCCACTCGTCCTCTCGCCCGTTAGAAATTGCCTGACTTGACACACATTCCGAAAGCCGCGCCAAAAATTATGGACACTTCCCCTGTCCACGCGAGACATAAGGGGATTGCGTTGACGACTGTCAAGGGAGTCCCGGCAGCGAGGAGGTGAAACGCTGCGACGAGATCTCTCGCAGTCGTCGTGCATACGCGTTTGGTATCACTGGTCGGTCGAGTCCGGATCGAGCGATCGTCAAATGACAGAGCCGCTCGGCAGGCGCCGTGAGAAATCGAGGGCGAAGCGATTTTCGACCTAAGGACCCTTGGTACTTGCCGCTCGTCGTAGGCAGCTCTCTCTCGTTCGCACACACACGCTTAATTCGTCGGACCAGTTTGTTGCGCGAGCCTCGGCCAATCATTCGGTCGTGTTATTTCGCAATCAACGAGAGAGGCACAAACGCAGGAGACGAGAGAGAGAGAGAGAGAGAGAGAGAGAGAGAAAGACGCGAGAGACGAGGACAGCGCGGGTCGCGGGCGCGCGCATGTGCCGGCAGAATTTCGCGATAAAATCTCGGTAACCCGATACTCGTCGGGGGCGCGTGTTATTATAACCGTTTGTCTCGGCGCAACGGCGACGGTCCTCGCTACCGCGTCGATGTGTACACGTTGCGCGTGGCGATATCAATGTTGCACGCGCTCAGGGCTTTCACTTGGTCCGCGCGACGACGCGCGCTCGAGATTGACGGAAGCGGCCGCGCGCGGCGCGGCGGAATTGCGATCCTTAACCCTCGCGCGGTCCGGCAGCAACCGCCGGCGCGGCGGGGCGCTTTCACCGATTATTTTTATTTTTGTCTTCATTTGTTTTTTCATTCTTTTGTCCTTACCTGAATTTTCCCTTTTTCCTCATATCAAGCCATCTTTCGGCACCTGCGAGAAAATTCTACTTTGTCCGAAACAATCTGGTAGGAGGCGGCGCCATGCGCAGACACGAATCGCCGCAGCATCCGCGCCGACGGGGCTTTCATCGATTTTTTATTTTTGTCTTTATTTGTATTTCTTTATTTCTGTCTTTATTTGTTTTCTTTCTTATCTTTGTCTTTATTTGTTTTCTCATTTTTTTTTGTCTTTACCTGAATTTTCCCTTTTTCTTTTCATCAACCCACTCTCGACACTTGCGAGAAAATTCTACTTTGAAATAATCTAGTAGGCGGCCATTCTCGCAGACACGAATATCGCCGCAGCAGCCGCGCCGACGGGGCCTTCACCGATTATTTTCATTTTATTTTTATTTATAGATTATATTTATTTTGTCTTTACCTGTATTTTGTCTATTTCTGTTTTGATTTTTTTTCAATTTCTGTCTTTATTTGTCCTTTTACTTGTTTGTTTTTATCTGAAATTTTCCTTCTTTCTTTATCAGCCCATCTTTCGGCACTTGCGAGAAAATTCGACTTTGTCCGAAATAATCTACGTGGTAAGCGGCCTCACGCGCAGACACGAATCGCTCGTCCTCCTCCTGCCGCCCTCACGCGACGTCACGTGACGTATCGAGTGCGTGCCGACGCGCGGTGACACGCACGCCGATCAAAGGGAGACGCCACGCGTTTATATATCGCGTTACAACGCGTTTACATCGGCCGCTTCGACTTCGGCTCCGACTTCATTCGGTCTCGATTCTTTTAAACGACTACGTTGTTGTCGCTCGGCGCTTTTGTTCAACGATCATGCGCGCATGGCTCTGCTTCGTCTGCTACCTGCTGCCTGCGCGTCTGCGTGAAATTAAAAACCGCAATCTTCTTTCTCCCTTTCTCCCCGTCTCTCTCCGTTGTGTACTTGCGCCCGCGGAAGGAAGGGTCGAGAGGCGTTTTCTCAGCGTGACGGTTCACGCAGAAGAGCACGTAGCCAAGGTGATTGTCGCCTGCGTTTTTAACGCAATGTGCATCGAGAGACGCCGGGCCGAGTGAATCGTGCACCGGTCGTCGACGAATCATCTACCTGCGCACAAAGACGTGTTCCTCCATACGATTATCTGTCTCTGCGCGGAACCCTTGCCTCGCCGTGGATCGCCGTGATAGACGGAGACGGAGGTAGGGAGAGAGGGAGGGATGGACGGAGAAAGAAAGAGAGAGGATAGGAACGAGGAGGACCTGCATGTCATCCGGTTATTCCGGTAGCTACTGGCGGTTCCGGCAAAGAATTCCGCTTCTTTTCTCCTTTCCTTCTCCTTCGTTATGCGGAGGATAAATTATACGGAATACTAGGCGCGCAAAGTTAGCCGGGCATTGTTTGCCGACGTGGTATGCCCCGTGTGCGTGTGAGAATCCCCGACGAGGGAACGACGACAATTCGGCGCCCTTCGCGCGCCGATACCTACGGGTAATCGCGCGTCCGCGCAGGTTGCCGCGGAAGATTCTTTGTGCGCGCGTAAATGGAAGCAGGTCCCACTGGGACCACGGGCGCATCGCGTCGGTTATGCTGTTGCGCCGCAATGGCCGAGCCATTTCCGCCCTTGTCGCGGCCCAATCTCGTGAGACAGGTTGCGATCGTTCGCGTAACTTTCTTCAGCCTCTCGACGAGCCTGCCTCCGACAGAGCCCGAGGCACCGAACGCTTTCTGATTGCTCTTGTTGGCGGTGTAACGCAATCAATGAGGATGGACCATTCGTGTGCGTGTGCGTGTGTGTGTGTGTGTGTGTGTGTGTGTGTGTGTGTGTGTGTGTGTGAACGACTCGAAGGGGTAGAGTTATCGCAGCGACTTCGGAGAGATAGACACGTTGCCCGGGTGTATACTTATAGACAGCCGTTTATGCGGCCGGTTCCTCGTACGATTCTTGTTTTCCCGCTCAAAGTGGTAAATTACACGTTACAGCTGAGGAAATGAAAGGTGTGACTCTTCGACCCTTGGCGAGATATCCGACGTTACGATTCCCCGGAACTGTCGACCAGTTCGCGCGCGCGCGCGCGCGCGCCCGCAGTTAACCCGTTGCGATCCGAGGCCGTTCGAATAAATCTGTATAATTATTACGACGCGCACAGAGAGGGCCTGTACGTGTGTACCGGGTGGCGGCCGCCCTGTTGGAAGGTAGCCCCATCGGAAGGAAGCTGGTTTATTTTTTTGTTGTGCGCCTCGAGGGGCGCCCCATCGCCTCACCTTTGAAACACCTGGCTATTACCGCTGGAGCGCTTTATACGTGTCTGCGCCACCATATGCGACCGGCCCCACCGAGACTAGCTACGTAGACCCATTTTCGGGGCCCGCGGATCCCTAGACATGTGTCAGGTACCCCCTCCCCGCCCTTGGAAAAGGGGAAAGGGGAAGGTACCGGAGGGGTTTTTGGGTCTCTTCTCGCATCAAAGCTGCCACGAAGCTGGTCGCCTCGCCGTCAACAGCGACGGATTTTCCAACTTTGTGACATTCTCAATTCGAATTGAAGCTTATTCTTTCTCGCGTGATAAACTCTCTCTCTCTCCTCCTCCTCTCCTCTCTCTCTCTCTCTCTCTCTCTCTGAGCTAAATTGAACGGGAAATGAATTCTTTAAGGGGAAAATCTACTTGTCATTCGAAATCATCAATCGCCAACGCGTCGATCAGATCGTTGATACCTTTAAATGTTTACAATATACCCAACTAGAAATTTTGATCAGGTTCACCTAATATTGATAATGACCTGATAGGGTCATGAGTGAAAGGTAATCCTAAGTAAGTCAATCCTAACGACAAATAAGTAAGGAAGACCTTTATAATCTAAAAAGATCGTTATAATGATTGAGTCCACATTAGAA